CACCTCTGATCCTTTGGACGCCGCCGGTACAGAGGGCCAAGAATTGTGACCTTCAAACACAGTTCTTCAAATCAACCTTCAAACTTTCAACTCTCATTCTCTGACGGTCATGGCTCTCTCTGGTGCACGCAACACGGTCATACAGGCTTTGGACGACTGCGTAGCGAACGCCATCTTGACGATCCTGGACGAGGAGCAAGAACTCAAGGATCCATTCATGGTCGTGACTTACGACGAGAGTGCCGGTTTGACGAGGGCAGCAGTCTACAGCTCACCGTACGCGGTCTTAGTCCAAGATTTTCGGGGAACACCAGACTCGCGAGAGGTACAAGCTGGCGTCCGCATCTTGAAGAGCAGCGTAATGTCAGATCTTCAGGTGAAGTATGTCAACTTTGTCAATGACCTACCTGATCGGCGTTCGACAAGCCGTCATCCGCCTGCTTACAACCACAAATATGAGCATGAGACGAGTAGCTTCTACGTTCGCCATTGGTGCAAGTACAGTGAGCCGTTGGGCAAGGTGCGGTATTGCCATCAAACAACGTAAATTCTCTACCAAAGTAAGCTCAAACATCGTCACTACTATCAAAAGCAGCCTCCTACACGACCCTTGTTTGGGTTTGAGACCGTTGTGTTCAAGAATCTTTGACGCATTTGGAGTTCGCATCTCCAAATCTTTAGCGGCCACTGCAATCAAGAAGGCGGGCTTTACACACAAGAAGGCACGCCGGCAGTATACACCTAAAAGTCCAGAGGCCCTAAACTCCCTGCGAGAGGAGTTTTGCAAGAGAGTGGCTTTGTACGCTGATAGACATATCGTGTTTACGGACGAGTCTGGATTCTCACTGCGCAATCAATCCCCCGTGTATGGCTATGCACCCAAAGGCCAGCCCCTTTGTGTTTCTTCCAGCCCTCCGAGTGGAAAATCTGTGACTCTCGTCGCTGCCATCTCAAACTCCGAGTATAGAGCTTGTATGACACTGAGGGGACCACTGAATCCTCAAGGATTTGCTACCTTTCTATCGACCGCAGGAATCCCTGCAAGAAGCGTTATTGTAATGGACAATGCTGCGATCCATAGGACTGAGCAGGTGCGTGACACGATAGCAGGTCTGAATTGCGAAGCGCTCTTCATTCCACCATATTCACCAGATTACAATGCAATTGAAAATATCTTTGGCATCATGAAGGGCAGATTTATGGAGGAAAAACGCATCAATGACGGAACGTACAGTACAGAATGCATTCTTTGACGTGGAGCCTGATATAGTTTTGAGGACGAGCGGACGATGTTTGAAAGAGTTCTGGAAAACGATGAAGCCGAGAATGGGAAATTTGGGGGCCAAGGAAAGTCACGACTTGTAGTAAGCCAGACGTCCGAAAAGGCCCTGCCTGACAACCCTGAACCTTGCAAACTGGCCACGTGGTGGAGACAGGCGTCCGATCCATGTTCAGACTGGAAGATTTTTGGAAGTTGTAAGAGAAGTGGCGTCCGAAACGGTCCCACTTGAGAGTATAAAAAGGGCAATCTCAGTTTCATTTCCACACAAACAGATGGAGGAAGAAACGGAGGATCCCGAGAGGGCAAAGAGGACGCGCCCAGATGTTTCTGCACGTTGGAAACTGCGGAAGGACAAGGAGACATCGGTGGTTCAGACAGGATGGAGGGTCCTCTGCCAGGACCTAGGAATAACGGATCGAATCGAAGAGATCATCCCCGAGGTTACCCGCATCCGAGTCGAGACTTGCCTCCTGCTGAACCTCCACTTCATCCGCCTTCTGGAGGAAGAAAGACCCGTGCCTCTAATCGACCAGAATCTGGTCGGTCGTGCAATGCAATGTACATACTCCCGGAAGCCACAAGCCGACCCTGACCTACTCCACACATTCTCGACTACTACCTGCCCCTCTGTCCCAATCGCCCGGTCAACAGCTGCCTGCCTCGAATAGCAAACATCCTGTTAGACCTGCGCAACCAAATGCTCAGCAACATCAGGAACCACGTGGCAGTCCACTTCCAGTCGCGACACCGGGCCTTCATGCGGCTACTGTGGAAGCTCATTGCAGAGCCAGAGTTCTTCACCAATAAAAACGCAAACTTTCAAGAAAACACGCGACAGAAACTCGCCGAAATTTTGACGAGTGGAAAACTCGTGCACACAGAATGCATCGGTAATGTCTCTGGAAGGGTCTTTCGGTACTTCATCAGACGTCTACTCGAGAAAATACCGACTGAAGAGAGACGACTCAATCGACTGATGTTCTCGACGATTTTCGGCGTCTCACCTGCCGAACACGATATCAAAGAATTGAATTACAACATACTTTTTGACGATAAGATCAAGATGAACGTCTATCAGAGATTTGCCAGGAACGAAGAGACGGGCAAGTACCGCACGGATGATTCTTGTCTGTGCGAGATCGACGTAACATACATTTAAGGTTACATCAGGAATGACAATGGAACTGTACAAAGTGAAAGATGTCCACAGCGGACATTTCCTCCCAACAGGCACGTGCCCCCAACGAGCACTTGCTGCCAGCTTCTCCGTGATTTTCGGAGGACCTTCGCGTGCCCCCTAAGGTCGAGGACCTTCGGACGGTCCGGAATTATTTTCTATGCGTCATTTGAGACAGACCTTGGC